TGAAAGTGTTCAAAAGCAAAGGTGTCAGTTTGAGGACTAAAGGGTGTCTGAACCCATGCCGTGGTATTTTCAGTGGCCTCAGGAAGGTGAGAGCCGGCAATAAGCCATGAAGGCTGAAGGCGAGTCACTGTTGCGGGAGGACAGATCTGTCTTAGAAGAAGTGAGCCAGAAGACTTCTTAGAAGTGAGGATGGCAAGACTTCATCCCATGCATTTTGGACACATTCTTTAGGGATCCGCCCCTGGAGCAGACTTGGAAAAACAGCCTTAGTGAGTGAGTTAGTTAATTGTGCCAGCCTGGCCGATAATCACATGTGGGGCTAATTGCAAGGCGGAGGGATAAATGGGTGGTGAGCCTCGCCTTTCTAGTTCTCGGGTCTCTTGTTTTGTGATGGTTGCACCGGGTGCAGCTGCCTTAGCAGTTCCCTGCTTCAGCTTGCAAGATTGACTTCCTACAAGACATTCCCAAGGAGAAGCCACATGGACCTATCCCGATGCAGCCCTGGGTGCTGGAGCAGCCGTTTGGAGACCCCTGCTAGTGCTGAGATGCTTATTCGTTCACTGACTCAGCTTTCCTCCTGCAGTTGGCATCATTGCCTCTGTTTTGTGAGGTGGAGGACTTTGTGGACTGGTGTTGGGTTAATGGGTTAATGTTGGACTTGTGGGCTTGGGCAACATTGGGTTGGGATGTTATCGTGATGCACACTTTCTTTACATAAAACTCTCTCTTATACATGAGTTGCTGTGGATTTGTTTCTCTAAAGTACCCAGACTAATACAGTGAGCAATCAATCACCTGTAACAAGATGCATTCATAGAGTGACTGCAACAAGGGGCTGAAGCATAGCAAAGATTGTGAGGAGGAGGCCCCGAAGGGGCAATGTTTGGGGGTTTTGTTGCTGTTGTTGCAAAGTCAGATCTGACCTGATAGCAAGTACAGCAGTAACAGAAAAGGCTTCGGATCGGACAACTCCCCGTCAAGTGAATTCTCACTCACAGTGACCCTGTGAAGGGTTTCCAAGACTAGACCACCTCACATTTCTTCTGCAGAGCATCTTTCAGGTTTGCACTGCTGGCCTTGTGCAAGCAAGGTGATCCTGATTCCATAGTGCCACCAGGTTTCTCTGTGGGTTGGTCAAGGGGTAGCATGATTAGCCTCTTCTTTCCCTGGGGTCTTTTGTGGTGACCTTTAACCTCTTATGCTACAGGGGAATGCAAGAGGCTAAAGTTGGTGGGATTACTCACTAAGAGCATTGGGAAACCTTGGGCAAAGGGCTGTTTGGGACTCCTTTGGGAGTCCTGCTGATAAAAATTGGCTCAGAACTAGGAAGGGAATCCCTTCCCTTTCTCCCTCATGGACTCTGTACAAACCCTTGCACCATTTCTGGATTATTTTAGGACAACAGGTTGTTGGTGATTGGGTATCAACATTCTCTACCTAAGAATGACCCAAGATAGAGTTCTGTCCAGAGGCTTTATGAGCAATAGGTGTGGACAGGAGGAGCAACAGCAGAAAAGCAGGGCTGATGTCAGTGGTGACAACAGATACCAGACTGACTTTAAAGGCATGTAGGACATGCCACGTTGAAAAAACAAACTCACTGCCATCTACCAGAGTCAGTGCTGACTCATAGCGCCCCTGTTGGACAGGGTAGAGTATCCTCTGTGAGTTTCCTAGAATGGAACTCTTTAGAGGACCAGAACGCCTCCTAAATAATGGGATGCTGGGATCCTGTTTCAATGGAGGTAGTGATGCTGAGCCATAAATAGGTGCATTATAGATTGTCAAAGAAAACATCCTAAGCATAAGAGAAGGCTCTAAATTATCACTAGATGGCCACAGCTTATGATGACGAATGTTGATACTATGCAATGTTACTATATAAGTGTACTGGGTATAAAACAAGATGGAGGAAATACTGAGACGCTGATGGCTAGCCTGTTCTCTGTGTGCATGTGCATATGTATCAATTCTTCACACCAGCCTTGTTCTCATTGATGGGTTTTATAATGAAACACTATCAACTTGAACTCATTTAAATCTGTAGGTGAAAATTGTTTCCTGTACAACGGAAACCACAATGCCCATATACACAAGTATACCCTTCCTATGTCTACTTTCACTGCCTAAAGTTTCCCTGATAATGTTTTAAGTTTGTAAGTCACACCAAAGGAATAAATACCAGAACTAAAATAGGCAGGACCCCCGCCCCCCCCTCGTTCCAGGTACAAATAGTGGTTCCCAGGTGGTGAGGCTGTTTGGGTTGTGGCCAGCTCCTTTCACAGGTGTTGAACCCTTCCAATAGCAGTGCTATTTCACTCACAGAAAAAAAGCCAGCCAGCCTTTTTAACCTAACATAGTGATGAGTCACTATTCTGGCGTGGGTGGTAAAGGATAGAGATAGACAGTGAAGGTGAGGAAAAGGAGAAGAGGGGACATCGAGATCTGAAATAATCGATTGAAAACCTAATGAAAGGTTCACAGTCCTCCCTTCCTGCCCTTCCCTTTCTGAAAACAGAAAGCCGAACCAGATGGATGCCAGCCGGTATATGTTGCCATGCCGTAGAGACGGTGCTTCCGGCGCAGTATTGATAAACTGCCTGAGTATATCACTGGTATTTTAGTTTTGACTAGCCCAGCAAGCAGCAGCCAGAAGCAGGCTCCCCCTCCCTGCCTGACTGCCTGCCCCAGGAATTGCTTAAACAACTCCTGCACTGCGTGCGGCTCCACGCCATTACATGCTGGGTGAAAGGTTCCCTTCGCCCCATCGCCTGGGAATTCCCCCTGCAGATGAATGGGGGGACGCAGCCTGTGACCAGCTGAACTTCATTATTTAGTTTACTGCCGTATTGTATCAGGAGAGCAACTACCTAGAAATGCTTTATGCCCACATCCCCATTTTCTTGGTGGGGGATTTATTGGCCTACTCGGCAAAACCGTACCGAGGTGAAGCGGCCCCATCCGTCTGTGTCTTCCAACAAACAGCCACCCGCTGCCTCTGATCAGCGGTCCTGGGAGGACGGTGATTGAAATTTAGCACTTAGAGCAACTTAATTGGCACACGAACCTGCTAAGCATATGCCCCCACCGCAGGCCCACCATCTGATGTGTCCGTAGGGGGCTCGGCACCTCGCACATGCTCACGTTTTGCTACTGAAGCAAGATTTGAGCAGCACCGCGGAGGGAGCTTGTGCTGTGGTTTAGGAGAGGGGCGACCTTTGAGGAGAGCACCTCGGGACCGGCGTGACTTTCCCCCACCGGGGCTCTCCATTTCCAAGAACTTGGAACAGAGCCCAGTGTGCTGGCTGGGAAGGCCGTGCTCAGAAGCTGCACATGGATTCTGGTGCTTCAGTCCATCAAGGCCTGGCGGGGCAGGGCGGTGCTGGGAAAGGTTCACTGGCTCCGTGACCGTGGCGTTCCACATTCGGTCCTTCTGCGCTTGCTCACTGTGGCTGGAAGCGATCCTGGGCCTTCAGAGAGAAGAGCGGGACATCGCTGTCAACAGTTTGGGGTAGTGGTTGATGAGTCGGCAGACACAGGACCAAGTGTTCTTGGTTCGGACTGTCCGGAGAAAACCCTGAATCGTACCAGAAAGTTCAGCAGACTCATCAGGCTCTTGGCTTCTGTGAGAGGAGTAAGGGGTGGCGTGTCAGTGGTGAAGAGAACACTACTGTCTCCTGGCTGTGACCCGGTAGTCGCTGTAGACATCAAGGGGAGCTACGGGTCGCTCAACTCTCAAACTTCACCTTTGATGACTCCACTAGTCTGCAACTGGACCGTAGCCTCCTGGACCGGGTCGTATAATTCTTGGCATCTGGCCTCAGACAACACCGTGAGCTTTTAATGAAGCCTTTTGCGTTTCCGCAGATGAAGTTGAAACCGTGCCCTTGACAGTCTGAGAAGGGATTGCCCTGAAGCTAAGGCTTGGGGGGCGCTTGCCCTTGCCCAGGATCTGGTTTGACTTGTCGGTTTCTAATTTGGGATTCCCGTAGAGCGCCTCCAAATTCCAAAAGCTTCAGGGTTCTGTGACACCTAGCTTGGCTTCTGTTAGAATCATGTTGCTCACTCACCCACCCTTCATGGCTTCTGTCCCGTGGCTTTCTTAGACATTGAGAAAACAACAGCAAAAACTGTGCCACGGAGTCGATCTTGGCTCGTTGAGACTGTACGTCACAGTGTGGAACTGCCCTGTGGGTTGCGGTAAAGCTTCTCTAGAGTAGAAAGCCTCGTCTTTCTCCCACAGAGCGGCGGGTGCTTTCGAACTGCTAACCTTTCTGTCAGCAAGCCAGCCTGTAACCACTACACCACCAGGAAAGAAAAAAAAAAGTCAAACCTAACCCATAGAGGAGTTAGGGAAGGAACTAACATTTAAGAACTCCTTGCTAATTGATAGATAATTTTTATTTATTACTGAAAGCCTCACAGCCACCTTTAGAGGGAGAGCAGCCTTATCGATCCCCTTTAATTGATGGGAATGCGTCCCTTCAGAGAAGTTACGTAACCTGCCCTTCGTGGTCCAGCTGTAAGTGATGAGGCCGACAACTGCGTCCCTTCGTATTCTCGCCCAACTTTCTACTCGGGGCTGCCTTACCTGTTGCCCTGGAATTGATTCCAAATCATAGTGCTCTTATAGGACTGGGTAGAACTGCCTCATGGGGCTTCCAAGACTGTAATCTTGACAAGCACCGGCTGCCACATGGCATGAAGCGGTTGGTGAGTTCAGACTACCTACCTTCCAGGTGTCGCCAGGCTCCTTTCTGACTGTTGGGGGTGCAGATCTGAGAGCCTTCCCCAGAGGTGAAAGGGTGGGAAGTGGGAAAGGCCTAGGAAAGCATGGGCAAACCCTCCCCCTTCAGTAGAGCAAGGCTGGAACAGTGCATTCAATTATGTTAAGCACCTATTACAGAATTCCTAAACCCTCCCTTGGGCTCCGTCAGTTCTTAGAGATTGTAATTGTTTGAGACTAACTGGGATGTAATTTTTTTTTCTTCTGCCTTCAGGTGATTCTCATTTTGACCAAGCTCTATGACTATAACCTGGGGAGCATCACCGAGAGCTCGCTTTGGAGGTAGGTGGATGCTTTGTGCTAATGATCACAGACTGACTCTTGCTCTAATGAGCCACTCTACCCTCTCAGGTTGCTGGTTGAAGGCCCCTCCTTCTTCCTGGGCTTGCTCCACGTTGCCCTTAGCAATGCCTCTCGTGGCAGTCACACTTCCCTTCCTTACAGATCCCTTCTCCAGAGCCCCTTTAAAAGTGCTTGACTGCTAACTGAAAAGAGCCCTAGAAAATAATGATGGCCACATATGTATAAATGTGCTTGATCCAACTGATTGTGTGGATTGTTTTAAGAGCTGTAAGAGCCCCCAATACAATGATCTTAAAAAGATAAACATTGCATCGCCACTACCTGAAAGATTCGCGGTTCAAATCCTCCAGTTGTTGCTTAGGAGAAATTTTACGCCCTTAAAGAGTCACAGCTTGGAAGCCCTGTCGGGCCACTCTGCCATGTCCCAGGGGTTCTTGGAGTTGGACTGGCCTCGAAGGCAGTGGGTTTGGTTTATAGTGCAATCAGGCTGTTACCTGCACAGCAGGTGGTCACCATGATTCCCGCTAATCCTGGGAGATGATTGGAACAGAAGGAAAGAAGGAGAGGCCTCAAAAGAGGGAATAGACACCCCCCCCACACACACACACACCACCACCCAGGTGTGCAGAACGCAGACAGGCTCCCGATGCATGACTATTCCCTTGTTCCATGTGTGGTTCTGTGTTTTTAATCACAACCTGCAGGTGTGAGCTCACACACACCTGCACGTCATCTTCTCTGGGCTTCACCCTGGATGGCCATATACAGATAATTTAATAAGACCCTTTCAAATGAATGAATACACATCCGTTAGGGACAAAGCCACTCACTGAATATGGGCACAGAATAAGAGGGGGTCCTCAAAAAGATTGTGGAAAATTCTATGATCTTTAAATTCTATTTTTACAGGCATGCTTTGAAGCCCCCTCACGTAGACACTCTGACACCTTAAGGGCCTGAATCCAGGAAAGACAAAGCCCTCAGGGACCCAGGCCCCATTCCCGCCTCCTCTGTTCTTGGGGCTGTCTGCTTTGCCAGTCTGTGTGGTGTGTTTCTCCACCGGTCCATCACAGACACCCAGAAGAGTACTGGCAGCGGTTGTTGAGGAGCGAACTATATGCCAGGCCCCGAGGATGGGAGAAGAAGGGAGCAACCCTGGGGGTATTTTCTATGGTCATTGGCCAGATGGCAAATCCTGACCCTTTTCTGACTGCCCCGTGCTCTTGTTGTAATGATGGCTACAGAGACTTCTTGCTACATCCAAGCCCCAACACACACACACACACACACACACACACACACACACACACTCCCACAGGGAGCCGTTCCTGAAGGAAAATGGGCATAGCCATCACAGAGTGCTCCAGAGACTGCCGGGGGTGTCTGGGATATAAGATCAGTGGGGGTTTTCATCACTTGCCAGTCGGGGTGCCCTAATGGGACTGACCAGTAACCCTATGCCTCAGGCCTGAGATCTAGTGAGAAGGACTGATCGAGTGAGACTGAGGGAGAAGTCTGTGTTCACCCCTCGGAAGTTCATCCGTGGCGGCTCTCTTTGGGAGGAATGGGGTGCATCACAGGTTTACCTAGGCAGTGTGTTTTCAGAGCCCGCCCATATTGGGGAATTCAGTTCTCTGGATGCTGACAGCCATGAGTTGATCAGACATCCCAGTGGAAGCTTCACTACTCGTACGGCTGGTTGGTGAAATTGTTTTTCACGTAACGTCTCTTTTCTGCCACCTGACACCATGTGTACGCATGATACCTGAGTAAATTGTCTTGTGTTTTGGGAGACCTGTGGTTGACCAAAGAAAAAGACTGACCCTGTTGTTTTAGTTGCTGCCAGGCATTTAGATGGTCTGTCTCCTTCATTCACTGATAGGATTTGGTCCCAAGGAAATTATAACTAAATCAAAGTGTGGGGGTTTGTGTAGGAGCCTTTAGAAAGTGCAGTTCTTTAGTGCCTTAAGAGCCTGGCGCCTCCTGTATCATTTAAAAGCAGAGTCTCTTCCATTAGAAGCTCCGTGACTCTGAGTTAAGCGCGTGCTTCCTTAGATTTCTCTAATTTACGCTCACCTGAGACGAAAATAAACTGTAAGAATTCATTTTCACCTGTGAAAGAGAATCGGCACAGTATAAAATTTCAAGCCATTGGTCTTGTCTTCGTGGGATCGAGGCCTTCGGCAGGCAGCAGTCTCTATCTGGGAAGCTAGAAGGGGAGGAGCGGCATCCCAGGGTCGTCGTCCCTCGGTCTCTCTCATGGGGCGTCACGCAGATGCTTCAGGGTGAAGCAGAATGTCGCTTTCTGATCTCGTGGGGCTGGGAGTGAGGGACGGTATCATTTAATGAAATAAAAATGGAGTCACCTGTCCTTACTAGTCATTCAGCCTTCCTGGTGGCATAGTGGTTATATGTTGGGCAAGGTGGGGAGTTCGAAACCACTAGCCGCTCTCAGGAGGAAGATGGGGCTTGCTCCTCCTGTAAACAGTTTCAGTCTCAGAAACTCCCGGGGGCAGTTCTACCTGTCCTATAGGGTTGCTGTGAGTTGATAGCGACTGGAAGGTAGTGGGCTTGGTTTTCGGTTTGGGGTCCTTCGGAAGGTGCAGTCGCTAGAGGCTGAAACTCAGGAAAGTCTGACTTGCTGACCTTTCAGTCTCCAGGTCAAGTTCACGGGGCGAGAGCAAAATGCCATTTCTGTTAGATTTGTTTACCCATTTTCCCTCTATGTAGTGCCCATTCAGTGACGAGCACTGTACTAGATACCCAAGGATTGGATATTAATCAACCCCACTGGTGGGATCAGACAAGTAGATGCGCATGCTTCAGTCTCTAGGTGTCATGATAGTGATATATGTAGGGAGCTGTGGACACCTGGTCCAGGCAGCGTCAGGCAGAGGATGGGCTGACCTGATATCCCCTGCTTTTATTGAGGGCAGTGATTATATATAGGAAGTGGCTTTAAAAATCTCCTGGCACAATGGACTGAACAGATAGTGGAATTTCCCTCCAAAGTGTTTGAAGCCGCCTCATCTTTGGAGTGCTGCCCCTGTGCTTTACTAAGGCTGCATGCTTTGAGCTCTTAGGGATGCCCAGGCTTCATACTTAGGGGCACTCCCGGAGGGTCTTTTTCAGAGGAGGATGAGGAGGGCAGGCTGGGTCTGTGGAGGGTGGTGCTTAGGAACAGCACACCTCTCCATTAACTACAGCTCTAGTTGCAGAAGATTAGAACAGCCACGGTGAGCTCATTTTCTTCTGTTCCTTCGTGTATTTTCTTCTACATACACCTGTCTACACCAAAAGCTGGGGGGCTCATTTGGTGTCTAGGCTGTGTTTTAGACATCCTCATAGTACCAGAGTGCCGAACACAGCACTTCCTGCCTAGAGGATGCTCAGTGAATAGCTGCTGTAGCCAAATCCATGAATCCTATAGTTGTATCTCCACTGTATGGTCATCGATGAATCATTTTATTTCCCCTTTCCTTATTTAACATAGATGTATTGAATAACTCTGTTCTCTAGATTCTACTGGTCCAGAGAAGGGAAGGTGAGTGGGTACGTTGCATATAGATTCTGTCTTCAAGGTGCTCATCAGCAGCATGGGGACACAGGTCTATAGACAGTTAATGCAAGAGAGAAAAGTGCGGGCATGGGGCCTGCCTCGTGTTATTATATGGATAAGGTACTTAAGCGTCCCCCTAGGGCTATCAGGTCGCAGAAGAAGGTAAATCCAATGTACATAGAGAAACCATCCCAAGAGCCATAAGTGTTGTAATAAAGGTAAGGGATAAATGCCACTTCTCTACATTGCTCATGTACATATTTTCTCTTCTTAAGTAGACTTGAAGCCCTGAACCCCAGTGCCTTGCTGTTGAAAGTCAGTGCTGATGATGATTACCATAGCGATACAAGTAAATGCTAGCTTTTATTGAGCACTCACTTTGTGTCAATTATCATGCTGAGTGGTAGGCATGCATTAGTTCGTGCCATCCTGTACTTCATCTTTTACAGGGTGTCCAAAGACCCCCATCTTGCAAGTAGTAGCACGTCGGCTTGCAGCTGCTAGTTGATAACGCATACGTTGCCTCCCTACTTCCACAGTCCCTCCTGCCTTCCGATCAAGTTTTCTATGAACAACCAAACTAGTATTTCATATAGGTAAGTATGTCCAAGATTGTAGAGATGCACACAAGAAGAGTCTGTCCAAAAGTGTAGTTGCAAGATCTTAGACACCTTTATTAAACAAAAGTGACAAAATGTGAAGTGATTGTTTCTCCACATATCCTCCATCTGGGTTTATCCATTGCTGAAAGTGGTATTCCCATCTCTCCACCCCTTCGCCAATGAATTTGGCACTCTTAGATTTATACCACTTTCACCGGGCAGTTCTGGCATCCCTGAGGGTCTCTGATCATGTCTCCTTTAAATACCCTTTGAGCTTGGGAAACAAGCAGAAGGCTGAAGGGGCACAATTAGGGCTATAGGGTAGATGGAGTAAGGTTGCCCAATGAAATTCTCACACAAGACACTGTGCAGCTCTCAGTGAGCGAGCAGGTACCTTGTCCTGAGGGAAAACATTCCCTGATGCCACTTTCCTGTCATTTTCCTCACCAATTTATTGAGTTTTTAGTTTTCTTCAAGCTTCTTCCTAATGGACCCTTATTATCTATGCTCTTCGGTAACATTTATGAAAATTGCCCCACAGCACTCTCCAAAAACCAGTCATCATAACCTCCTGGGCTGATCGCGATGCCTGGAACTTATTTGTGAGGTCTTTCTGCCCTTCCTTAAAATATGTGCTCCGTCTGAACCCTGTGAGACGATTTTATGTGAGGGAGGATCTCTGTAACCGTGTTGTGTTGCAGGTGTCCGCGTGAGTTTTGTTAAACATCGGATACTAGCTCTCACCTCGAGGATGCGCCCCGTGACAGATGGTCTATTGTTTCACAAGGAACCCTCGCCCGGTCTTAGTGTGTTACTGA